AAAAAAAAAAAAAAAAAAAAAAAAAAAAAAAAAAAAAAAAAAAAAAAAAAAGAAAGAAAAAAAAAAGAAAAGAAAGGGATCTCTGTGTAGAACTAGCTGCCTTGAAACCACAGAGATCTACCACCTACCTTTGTGATTAAAGGGATTAAAGACATGTACCACCACAGCAAGGCTTGAGGTCCTTTCTTTTTTTTTTTTTAAAGCATTACTTGATTTTTTTTTTAATTTCATGTGCATTAATTAGCGTTTTGCCTGCATGTATGTATGTCTGTGAAAGTGTCAGATCCTATGAAACTGGGGTCACAGACAGCTATGAGCTGCCATGTGGGTGCTAGGAATTGAACCTGGGTCCTCTGGAAAAGCAGCTAGTGCTTCCAACCTGAACCATCTCTCCAGTCTTGAGGTCCTTCCTTGAAAGAAGGAAGGAAGGAAGGAAAAAGAAGGAGGAAGAGTAGGGAAACTTCTCAGGGGATCTATTTATTGTGCTCTTCTGTTCTCCACAGACACTGCATGCACACGGTTCCCATACACTTGGACAATACACATCAAACAAATAAGTCTTTTTGTTTTGTTTTGTTTTTCGAGACAGGGTATCTCTGTGGTTTTGGAGCCTGTCCTGGAACTAGCTCTTGTAGACCAGGCTGGTCTCGAACTCACAGAGATCCGCCTACCTCTGCCTCCCGAGTGCTGGGATTAAAGGCGTGCGCCACCACCGCCCGGCCACAAATAAGTCTTTTTAAAAAGGAAAAGCATAATTCAGTAATTCTCCACGTTTGCTTCCAGTAACAGTGGCTTTGTGTGCACATGTGTGTTTCATCATACCCTTCTCAGGATCCTAAGTCAGCAAAAAGAAAAACAACCAAAACTTTACCAAAGGATGACGGAAATGTGTGTTTTGCTACCCACATCACTGCAATTATTGATTTGGGATGAGCTCCAAAAGGGGTGGGGGAATGTGTGTGGGTTTTACTGCTATTTGTTTGACTGGGGCAGGGTCTTACAGTGTAGCCCAGGTTTCTTCTTCTGCCTCATCCTCCCAAGTGGTTAGTAGTTAGTCATCTATAGTAATAATCAAACTTGTAGTCAAGTTAGAATGCTATCACTTCCTTCTCTTTCAGGGTTCCCGAGACATTTCTCTCTGCCCACTCGTTCACAGAAAGAGGCCAGCCAGGCCCCGAGAAATGCACGCTATCCACTATCTGCAGGCATGTCTGCTAAGCCACCAGAGATTTCTCTGAGGGTCTCAGCCCATCTAGAGGTAGAGTCAGCCATGATATTGACGTGGTGGCCCACGTCACAGAAATATTCTGGTAGTGTAATTCCAGGGTAAACAGAGGCTTCTCTTGCAGCTACAGGCATATTGGAGGTATTGGCCACCAGTGCTGTCCTCTCCATGACTGACTGACTCTACTTTACCCTCAACTTCCATAGTGCGCTCGGAAAGTCCCGAAGAACTTCGGACATCTCATTTCCTCTTTCAGCGCATCCTACAGAGATGATCACGTCACTGTTGGAATACT